AAATATACATATAAATATACATATAAATCCCAGGGGAGCAGTTATATAGCTGGGTAACAGGCGCTCAGGGAATAATTTCAGTACCTGCAGGGAGATGGAGGGAGACTACCGGTACTGTCCCCACTGCATCGGGGAGAAGATGGAGCAAGTAATTTCAGAGCTGGTGAGATCCACCAGAGATTTATTGCCACCTCTATCCTCCCTTCCCCAGAGCAGCACCTGGTGTAGGTATCCCTCTTGTACTGCCTTCTTTCCAGCCTTCCCTTATTCTACCGCAATTATCCCAGCCTTGGGTAACACGGTCCAATTCTTGAATTAATGGATTTTCATGGATTTTAATTCCTTAAGGTTTCTAACATTCCAGCAAAGCTGCTTAGGGTTCTCAGTTCTCAAATATAGTAAATTAGACAACAATTTTCAGTTAAATTAACAACTTTTGTCTTACCATCTCTTTGCCTTTGGAGAGACAGATTCTTAAAGCTGTGTGAACTTCGATTTACAATCTTAAAATGGAAAAAAAAATATTGAGGAGGAATGAAAGGTTTCTCTCTCATCTCCAGTACTTGGAAATTATTCCTTACATCATCTCTGTGGTGACAGTGCCACAGAAGAGGAGCACCACATCACTTGATAAAAATCACTGGAAGGGCTGACGGCATGTGACAAATACGCTGTTCCTTTCCAGCCCAAGAAGAACCGATACTGCATACATCGGAACAGTTGAGCTGTGCTTTTAAATGCCATTGAGTGCTCAGTGACAAAAATCCCCAGATTCCTGAATTACTCGAGATACTACAATTTCCCTGACCAAGTCACAGTCCCCAAAGACTCTTTCTGTGTCTGTCTCTATCACCGCAAAGGAGACCATCCATAAATCACCCACCAAGCAGTGGAGTTACCATAGTTGAACACGGTGACAGCACAGCACATGCTTTCACTACCCATATGAGGTAAAATGCTCTCACTGTTGGTGGGTTGACCGTGGCTGGACGCCAGGTGCCCACCAAAGCTGCTCTGTCACTCCTCAGCTGGACAGGGGAGAGAAAATATAACGAAAGGCTCGTGGGTCAAGATAAGGACAGGGAGATCACTCAGCAATTACCGCCATGGGCAAAACAGACTCAACTTGGGGAAATTAGTTTAATTTATTACCAATCAAATCGGAGTAGGATAATGAGAAATAAAAACTAAATCTTAAAACACCTTCCCCCCACCCCTCCCTTCTTCCCGGGCTCAACTTCACTCCTGATTTTCTCTTCCTCCTCCCGCCAGGCATAGGGGGATGGCAATGGGGGTTGTGGTCAGTTCATCACACATTGTCTCTGTCGCTCCTTCCTCCTCAGGGGGAGGACTCCTCACACTCTTCCCCTGCTCCAGCGTGGGGTCCCTCCCATGGGAGATGGTCCTCCATGAGCTTCTTCAATGTGAGTCCTTCCCACGGGCTGCAGTTCTTCATGAAGAGGTGCACCAGTGTGTCCCTTCCATGGGGTGCAGTCCTTCAGGAACAGACTGCTCCAGTGTGGGTCCCCCACAGGGTCACAAGTCCTGCCAGCAAACCTGCTCCAGCGTGGGCTCCTCTCTCCATGGCTCAACAGGTCCTGCCAGGAGCCTGCTCCAGTGTGGGCTTCCCATGGGGTCACAGCCTCCTTCAGGCATTCCCCTGCTCTGGCGTGGGGTCCTCCACGGGCTACAGGTGGATATCTGCTCCACCATTAACCTCCATGGGCTGCAGGGGGACAGCCTGCCTCACCATGGTCTTCACCACAGGTTGCAGGGGAATCTCTGCTCCGGTGCCTGGAGCACCTCCTCCCCCTCCTTCTTCACTGACCTTGGTGTCTGCAGAGCTGTTGCTCTCGCATATTCTTACTCCTCTCTCCGGCTGCTGTTCCATAGCAGGATTTTTTCCCCCCTTCTTAAATATGTTTTCCCAGAAGTGCTACCACCGTCGCTGATGGGCTCGGCCTTGGCCAGCAGCAGGTCCATCTTGGAGCCGGCTGGCATTGGCTCTATCGGACCCAGGGGAAGCTTCTAGCAGCTTCTCACAGAAGCCACCCCTGTAGCCCCCCCGCTACCAAAACCTTGCCACGCAAACCCAATACACTCACCTAAGTCCTAGGTAAGGGATTTAAACTAATGGACTTGCCCTTGTCACTGCAATGGGCTCAGGGCGTGGATGTGAGGAGGTACCGGCACTCAACTGATGCACGCTAATTCAGTAAGTTGCGGTGAGTGCTTCTGAGCCCTGGATCATGGGATGGGCGGTTACCTCTTTATCACTTCCTGGCTAGTTTCCCCTGCCTGTAGATATTATGTAAGTAATTACTTTTTGTGTTAATTGCAGTTTGGCCAACACCCTGGTATTAACCTTTGCTATTAAGATGAGCCAAGTGAGATTTTTAATGCCCTGTGATAGGGCTGTGGTCCTCTGCTGGCCAGTGGAGTTTCCTTTGTAGGGACAGAGTCAGGCTGCTCTTCTTTTCATGAGACAGGTCCTAAAGGCCACAATCTTCCTTCCCAAGGGCTTGTGTGGAAATCTGACGTGTTAGATGCTGAGGTAGGGTGAGCTCTGGCATCTTCAAGTCTGAAGTAATTGTTAAATACACAGGGGGTGGAAAAAGAACCTTTTTTTTTCTGTGAGAGTTATTCTGTGCACTTGTGCCTGTAAGAGACAGTTCAAGACCCTTGGGGAAAAATAACCGGGCTACTGTTTTTGTTTACCAGGTCAAATGGATGATGTACTGGATCATATTCGCGCTCTTCACAACAGCAGAGACATTCACGGATATCTTTCTTTGCTGGTGAGCACCAGAGGGGAGTGGGTCTTTGGCATGAGATGGAAAGAAAATGGAAATGTTTACAAGGGGAAAAAAGGGGCACAAAGGTGCACTGTCTCCTGAACACGGGGTTGGCAGCTTCAGGTGCATAGAGGTGTTTTGTCTGCAGGAGCCATGCTTCCTTTCTCAGTGCTGTCATAGGAAAATCAAGAAAGAAGATGGAACTGCTCAGTGATATCTCATCAGTGAGAAATCATTACGGGAGTTTCAGTCCCTTGCCTGTCAGAGAGAGGTGCAGCTGATTGCCGAGTTGGATGCTTGCAGAGATCCTCACGTAAACAACAGTAGCTTTAGCTGCAGGCATAGTTCTAGACTTGCCTAGCTGTGTCCTACAGTCAATACACAGACTAGGGATCAAGCAGAAACAGCCCTGCAGCACAGGACTGTGTTTGTAGGTTGTTGTATGGGTGGTTGTTCCTGGGATGTTTTGCCAGGCCCGATCCTGGGTAGCCTGGGTTTACGGTTTAATGGAGGACAGTGACAGTCCATACTGATGGGGGCTCTCTGGTGCCAGTGGAAGGATTCCTGGTGACTTTTGTCAGGATGAGAGCACATAAATGCCCAATTATCAGATTCAGTTCCTTAAATTTGGATGCTCAAGTTTGGAAATGTTTGTTGCTTGGTTGCCCTTTTTAGTAAGGCCTTTCTAAGTGGAAACCAGTGAGATCAGCAGACTTCAGGGCAAAAATTTAACTGTAGTGCATGGCCCTCATCTAAAGCCTGTTCCTGCTTAGCCCTGCATGCCTCTAGTGAGTCCTCCAGACAAAGGGAATCGGGGGTACTTGGCAACATGTCAGACCTGTTGAAAAGGAGATAAAAGACGTTATTGTCTCCCTATCTAATTTGCATGCAGATCTACCTCCACTGTGTTCATCTGGAGCTTTGTTTTTTTGAAGGATGTATTATGTGGGTCTCTCGGGAGGAATGACAGAGGGCTTGTCCAGCCTGTGAAATCAAATATACTGTAGAGATCCTCAGTGAGGTGGAAGACCAACCGGGCAAATCCATGCCTCAGAGTAGAGCATTGCAAGGCCCATGGAGTCAGGCCTGGATGCTGTATAGCCCAGCTGCCTCAGTGACAGTGCTGTGCTAGCACAGCAGGAGTCTGTCTGGGTGCAGCTGGGCTGGTGCACAGCCATCACAGAGTCTCTGCTGCTCTTGCTTGCCCCTGCCTACAAAGGATAGCGTTGGTCCGTCACACTGCTGGCAGCAACATGCCTGCCCGCATGAGGATGCTACTAGCTGGCCAACATTGAGCTCTAGAGTTTGTCCTCCAGAAAAGAGTCTGGATAATCTAATCTCAAGAAGTCCCTGGCTTGTTGTTACAGCTAAAGCATGTCCTGTTGTTAATTGGTGTCCTGCATATTTTGCAGTGCTACCTGAAAGCCACAGTGTGGATCTGCACCTTTACGTTGCATGCTTGGACAAAAAATAAATGGTTCTTGTATTTCAGTTTCAGTCAGATAAGTGTTATCTTAAAAACAGAAAGGCAGAGAGATGAAAGGTGCATAAATATATCAATGAAATACTGATTTGCTGGTTTGCTCTTTGCTGCCTCATAATGACTAGGGATGCTATGAAGGCAGCATCTGTGCTCTTTGCATATAGAAAGCTCCTCTTATCACACAGCAGAGTCTTTTCCAGACCATTAAAAAATGGCCCTGGTACCCAAGTAAAGATTTGCCCACATGCCTAGTTGAGATGTGTGCAAAGGTGAGTGAATGTGTTTTAGTCTTTGGATTCCTTGGTAAGCAAAAGCTGTCCTAAGCTAGACTGGCCAGTCCCTTCCTGTGATGAGCATCTCTAATTAAGGGCAGTAGTTAAATTGGGAGTGGGCATTAACAGCTCTTTTTCTTCTAGGTTTCCATTCTACTATGAACTCAAAATAGCTTTTGTAGCTTGGCTGCTGTCTCCATACACGAAAGGCTCCAGCCTCCTGTACAGGAAATTTGTTCATCCAACGCTGTCTTCAAAAGAAAAGGTAATCACAGGTGCCTGGGTCCTCTCTGGGTGGAGCAGATCTACAGTATGTTTACTCCAGTCTTCGTATCACTCATTTTCATTCAAGGATTGGGAGTTGCTGATTCTCTTCCTCTGTCATTTGATCATCTCTTTTTGGTTGGTGTTTTTGTTGTTTGGGGTTGTTGTGTTTTTAAATACTGGTATCTGTTCAACGCACTCACACATATTAACTGTCTTTCTGCACTTGAGAAGTTGGGAAGGAGGGGGATAAAAATACCTCCTGAGCTGCTTTGCACGTACTGGCTGAATATAGCTAGAGTGCTATGTTATGGCTGGATATAACAATTAGAGAAAGAGGCTCTGGCAGCCAGGGCTCCTTAACTTTGTTCCCAGCTCTGCCTAAAACACTGTGCAGCAATGAGACAAATAGCCAAGCCTGTCTGAAAGGGGCTTAGCAAGCATTTGCCTGGGTGGGAGATGCAGAGCATGCTGAAGTAAGGCATGTAGCATGTTGACGTCCTGGGTTGAGAAATGTCTTGCTCAAATTCATGATGCTAATTTGGGGGGGGCAGACATTACAGCTTGGATCATTTGCCTGCCTAGGAGATTCCTGTGGCTGTGAATGGGACATTGTCAGGCAGATCCATTTGGCTCATGTGGATACATGGACCAAGAAGAGCTATCAGTCACATATCAACATGCAGACTACTAAGAAGTGAATAACTGTTTCCCACATTGGCAACTATGGAAGTGAAAGATCTCTGTTTAGCCACCGGCAGTGCATGAACAGTTGTATCTCAGTCCTGTCCAAGAAGGACTGTGGGGGTCAGCCCCTTGTCTCTCTGCTTCCTGGGAACTTCTGCTTACGCTTCTCACAAGTAGTGCTCATGCATTTTGGGTTGCCACCTCTTATCTACTAGGAATAGGGAGGGAATCACTAAACAGCCAGCAGCTTCTCGCAGCCTCCAATCCCTACTAACACAGCTGAGTACTAGAAGTCATTGACATCCATTATCATCCAGACCCCTGTGTCTTGAGGGAGGGAGGGTGAGGGCAGGAACTTTCATAACCATTTCACTGTATATTGAGCAGCATCGAAGTCCAGAAGCTCTGGACCTACCAATTCCATGGGCATGTTGAAGCCAGACACTGCAGTGATGTGCAGAGATATCTCAGATACTTCTGAGACCACCAGTCCTGGACCTAGGGCAGTACAGCTGCAGCTGCCCAGTATCATAATATAATTCTTTTTAACCATGGGGCAATCCAGTTTGTCTTTAGAGTCCATAGATTGCAAATGGCTCCTGACACAACCTGATCCATTCTGCCCAGGTGGATGTGTCTGTCTTGCTTCCAGGACCTATTGATGGTGGTTGCACTGTGCAAGTGTATCCCAACTTTGGGCCCCAATTTTCCATTCACAGAATAAAGAGTTCCCAAGCCTGCAATGGGAGTTACTGCTCCCCTGCAAACCTTTCCTCTTTGCAAACGTTGGCTGTGAACTTCTCTCCAGCCAGGGTAGAGGAAATGGAGAACGTCTGCCTCCATAAAAGATGACCTGGCCCTGCCAAGAGTTTGAGGCTGGGAGCACTCTGAACTTGTCCTTGTGCTTTTTTTTTTTGTTTGTTTTGTTGTCTGCTGTGACAGGAGATCGATGACTGCCTCGTCCAGGCAAAAGACCGGAGCTACGATGCCCTTGTGCACTTTGGGAAGCGAGGGCTGAACGTCGCAGCCACGGCAGCCGTCATGGCAGCTTCAAAGGTAAAGGTGCGGGTCAGGATGATGACTCATTAGCATCTCATCTGCATCCATTGCCAACAGCAGCCACAGTGTGGAGGAGGAGAGATGATGAGGGTAGGGATTCGCTCACTGATTTTGATCATGCCTCCCAATCTCCCATTCACCAGCCACACAGGTGCCTCTTGGGATGAAGACAGTAAATGTGGTGCCTAGTGAACCTATAGGAGGTTGAAAATGCAGGATTAAGACTAGGGTCTGCCTCAGGCCTCTGTTGAATTTTTTATTTTCCATAGCATTCAGTACCCAGGTGATAATGTTAGCAGTGCTGTTCATCACAGCCTGTGCTCTTCATTTTCACTGTCAAAATAGGAGCATGTTTCCCATGAAAGATGCTGATGTTAGGTGATCACAGTTAACAACCTGACAGGGAAATATTTTTTTTGGTCAGCACCTTCTACAGTGAAGGGGAAGGCCATCTGCAGCCCAATTTGTCAATTGTTGTGCTGAATTGTTGAGAAGTCTGGAGGATCTAGTGACCTATAATTTGGGTACTGACAGAAAGCAGATGTGATCTGAAGTTCATAAAGGGTAAAAGTTTGTCTGCAAGGCTTACACATGACACCCCTCACGTATAATTCTCTGGAGACATGTTTATGTAAGAGTGAATGGGAAGTGGCATTAGTTGCTTTTGGAGAATGAGTAGATGTGGGATGAGTGGTCTCATCTGAGGAGATGTATCCTGTACTCTGTTCCTGGCTTAGAGCCAGAACCAGGAAGTAGTTGTTATCTCTGTTCTTTACTTGTGTAAAAACTGAAAGGACTTGATAACTGCATTTTGTGGTCCTGCTCTCTGGACATGGATTATCATGGTTTAGGGTAGATGTGCACAGTGTCTATACCCTTGCGTTTTGGGGGCAAGACTTGTATAAAAGATACGGCTTTCATGCAGTCAGATACAATGCCTCTTGCAAAAGGATAGTAGCAACATATGGGCAAGGTGGGTATTGTATTAGGAAAAACATGTGAATGGGAGTTGAAGGAAATTATTTTCCTCTGTCAAATGCTTTTCATATGACCTCAGGTACATCATTTTAGTATGTCTTGGCCTTACCTTCTGTAAAAATGCATAGTACATCCTTAGGAGGCCAAATACCATGAAGTCTATAAAGCATGTTGAATGCAAGGTATTATAGAAGTGGAGAGCCCCTGGGATATGCCATGCACATGTAGGATCGCAAGGATATGCAAAAGCTATATCCTGTTCCAAAGAAAAGACAAAAATTGCTTCCCTTTTCCCTGCCAAGCATTGTGCAGACTGTGGTTGTCACGCCTGGCTCAGTTCTTTTCCTGAACTGTTGCTCTTCAGTGGAGGCTCTGCTAACCCAGGGACTGCTGGCTAATCCAAACCCGGACTGAAACCTGGGACAAACGTGGAGCTAAGGCAGAGCTGTGTGTTATATGCCCAACAAAACAACATTTGTGTGATGCCTCCATGACACTTAACACTTTTGCTGCTGCTATGTAAGCCTGAAGAAGTCGCACCGTGGGCATAAACAGGTTCTGGGAATGCCTGTTTTGCATCACTGCCTTTGCTTTGAGCCCCTTCCTACAAGGTGCTGCAGACTCTGTGTGCTAGAGCTGGTTTTAGGACAGAGTTGGAAACTATGTGTGAATCCCGAAGAAACTCTGACTCCTTTTGGGTAGTTGCTGAATATGAGAAGCTCAACAGTAGCCCAGACGCACAGTGCCAACCTGTTAATCTCAGGACTGCAACAGTGTCTTCATCAGCTCTTCAACCTGAATGAACAGTCAACACCACAGTTTTTCTTCCCACTGTTCTGCTTTTCTGGTGTTTTTCTTAAGAATCTCGCTGCCTTGAAATGTGGCTCCAGTGGCAGTGGGAAACTGGGTAGAAGGGAGAAGAGTCTCCAGGGTACAAGGAATCCGTTGTTTTGCATGAGTTAATGAAGCTCCCCATTCAGTGTTGGAAGAAAGCAACTCTGTGACTCGTGTGGTATTGTTGTATGGCGCATCTGCCAGCCTAACTTGAGAGAAAACAGTTAAGATATTGCAACCTGTAAATGGACCAGAAGAGTCTTTCCTGCACGCTACTTTGGGAAGGGGAAAATGATCTGTTGATAAGATTGATAGGTTGTTATTGGATTGATTGATTGATTTTTACAAGAAAGCAAGGACTGTTCATGTCTTTGCTTCAGCCTTGACATTTAAATTACTCTGAATATGTGAGGAAAAATAGGACTCCTGGCTTCTTTCACCACTTCGGCATGTGGCCTCCAGCAAGTTGCTTGCTTCTGTGTGCCTCAGGGTGCAGATGCAAGAGACAGGGTGAGCTGATCTGACAGCTCTCCTCCAAAATGGGGTGATGCTCCTCTTCCCAATGGGTTACTGTGCACCAGCTCTTTGAACCTCCTCAGGTTATCTCTAATCTATCAGAAAGCTTATCCAGAAAGAGAAAGAAAGGCAATACTGTTTTTCAAGCCCACAAATGTGTCTCATGAGTGCCTGAGCCAGCACAAGGCAAGGGACAGAACTGCATTGTGAGGAGTATGGTCGGAGGAATGGAAAGCAAGATCTTCCCTTCCTGGTCATGGGAAGCAGGCAGATTAGCTCTGCTACTCATGGAACCACACCCTTAATACCTTTACACTCTTCATGGTGTAATAGTCAGGAACAGTTAAAGCAGCTTCTGCCCCTTGCCCTTTTCAGACTGAATTTGATGTTTTTCGGGCAGGGAGAGCTGAATAGTTGTGATTTACAGCCTGATGTGTTGCAAGTACAGAAGTGCTGAGCTGGGGTTCCTCAGGTATTCAGGATGTGAAGTGTGATGGGTCGGGTGTGGACCTGTCTCCATTTAGCTGTCCCTGCTGCTGTGAAAGGAGCTGTTTCCAAGAGAGGAGCGATACAAGCAGGTATGGGTGGTAACAGCTTCTGTTGCCCTGGTTTTCAGCTGCTGTTAAATGTATGTCAACGCCCTTACTTGCTCACTTGAGAAGAAGGTATAACAGAGCTAGATTATCCTGCATGAGAGAAGTTTAAATGACTAATTATCTGGAAAACACTTTGAGTGACAAATGCCAGACAAGACTGCAGTGCTGTCATTAGGGGGAAGTTTCCAGGGAGGGAGGAAAGAGAATACTATTTCTAAGGCTTATCCTGGCTTTCCCAATGCCAAGGTTTAAGGGTATTCAACTAGTCTGTGTTGAGTGTAGATGGGAAACTGAGCCCTGAACAGGTTCATTGGGTTTCAGCCTTTAACAGATTGTGTTAAAATTGGAACCTATAGAGATAACCATATATTCAGAAGCACTGAGCTCCTGCAGCTCCCATGGAAAACATGGCTGTTACCAGCAAGTGAATGTGAGGATCTGTCTTATTTCCTGCTTCACTTGGATTAATGGGCAAGGAAAAGATGCTTTTGTATTAAGAAATGGACCCTCAGACTTTGCAAGTCAGCATCTTCTGGTGGCAAATACACAGTGAGATGCTGGGCTGAAAGTGTACTCTATACAGACCTGTTTTCAGTAAATAAGCTTAACTCTAAAGGCTCCTGTACTTGGAGACATGTCTCCCACTGTGCACAGCCCTGTCCTCTCCTTTCTCTCTGAGCTGTGGTAACTGATCTTGTGCTTGTGCTCCCACAGGATCTGTCATGATCTTTGTCTTTGGTGATAAGATCTTTGGGCAAGGCCCATCTCTTCATTCTTTTTATCCATCCTGCAGCACAATGTGGCTGACGCTCTGATTACTGTTTGTGTGTGACAGGCTGCTACTTATACGTTTACCACAGGCTAAGATGCTGCAAGCCTTGCACAGCCGCACCTTCCTTATCTCTGATCCCATGGCCCTTTCCCCTTTCTATCTTAAATAGCCTACAGTTTTAGTTAGCCAAGTGCAGGCTTGTCTCCCTTCCCCTTCCTCCTGCTCCCTTCCCCTGTTTTGTTTTGTTTTGAAGCCACAGTCGTGCTAACACTGGCACAAACCTGTGCCAATTCATTTTACAGGCTGAGGAGCTGTCAGTGTCCCAAGTACCCTGAGTATGCCCAGCTGGCTCACTTGGGTGTTTTCTTTCTCCCCGGAGAGTCTATTTTTGATGGTCTCTAAGCAGACAGAGCATTGGATATCTGGTCTTATTACCCCTGCTAGGTGCTCAACACAGATCTTTTCCCTGCCCCCAGCAGCTTGTGTCCCCACCAAGGAGCATAATCTGATTTGGGGCTCTGTAATCCTGTCCTCATTGCTTGGTCATTCTGTCACACACTGTGACTTCAAGTGGATCAGTCGTAAGTGGCGGGATTAGATGACCAGGCAGTAAATCCTGCTGCTCTGTGTGTGTTTTCAATTAGTTCCAACTAGTTCAGCCATTCCCGCTCCCAAAGGGCCTGGGTCACTGACCGCCACCTTCTTTCCAGCTCACCTGGGGGGAGGAGAGGAGAAGCAGAAAAGGAGCCTGCTTTTGGGTCACAGCAGAAGGGGAGCAACAGCAAGGCTGTTACAGCCCCAGTAGTGGGGCAGGCACAAGGCCTTGGCCAGGCAGTGGAGCCATCAGATGGAGGCCTGGGCATAAGTGGTCTTTTCATTGGCACCAGTCAGGTTTCTAATGTAAGTGGCTGGGACGTGTGTGGGGCTGCAGTGAGGAGAGGTACTGATGGCTTGGAGGCAGCACCAGCCTTCTGCAGCACACTTGTATGTACTCCCTCGCTGTCACCATGCTCCCAGCACTTTCTCATCCTCCGCCTGTCACCCTGAGCCTCCTACCACCTGCTGCCTTTCCCTGTCCCCAATTCCCAACCCTTCTACTCCCTGTTTCTTATCCCAAGACCCGGCCCAGCCCTGCCATTGCCTCCTCTGTCTCTACAACCCTCCCATCACCAGTTTCACACTCTCCCCCAGCTCTCTGACCCTCTCCTTCAAGCTCCTGGGTTTCCCAGATCCTGTATGCATGTATCCTTATTCCTCACCCTGAACAAACCAATTCTGCCAAACAGACCAAGTCAAATCCTGCTCCCAACCACTTAACCATCTCCAAGCTGCAGCCTCAACTTGCTTTTCAAAGGAGAGCTGCAAAAAACATCCCACAGCCAACAGATCATTGTAACCCAGAGGTTTCTGATAATCTATCTTCCTCTGCCCTTCTTTTGCCCTCCTGTGTGTAGGGCAGGTACTGTTTGCACAGCAGCTGGTGTAGCCCGTTGTGCGCCCCTTGCTACAGCCTACCTTTAGGAAGGGGCGTGGGGCACAGCGTGCTGCTGGCAGTGGTTGCAGTGCCTTGGCAGGAGATGATAAATGAGGTGGAGGGAGCAGGCACGCATGACTGGTGTCAATGAAAAGCCCATTTGTGCCTAATAAGTCTGAGAAACAGTCCAGGAGCCTTTCATGCGTGGGGAAATATGGCTTGCGGTGCTGCCAGAGCTAGCAATCACTCTGGTCATCGGTTAAAAGGACCAGGCATGCAGACGAAAGCGGGAGGGTTTCAGTATGTGCATCCACCTCCTAAACGCGCAGGAGTGCAGTGTCAGCAGTTCCCAAACTGCTTCAGCTCGCAACCACCTGTCTGGTCCGACATTGTCACTTCCATTTCCACCTTTGGGTTCACCACCCGCAGGGGGGTCACAGCTCCGCTACTTTAGGGTCCCTTAGCCCAAGAAATTTATTGGGAAGTTTCCCAGTCCATTTGCTGATTTTTAAACCAGGGCACTGGAAGGGAAATGCTGGTGATCATTTAGATTTTATCTTCTCTAGTCAAACAGCATCTTTTCCTTCATTTCTAGTATCTGGCTGGTATAGCCAGTGCAACTGCCTGAAAGTCAATATTTAGATCCCTAATTTTCCATGAGAATTGAGACCTATTTACTGTGGGTGTTTGGAGCAAAAACTTGTGCAGGAAAGAGATGCTGCCTTTTGTGGTATGACAGTGGAGAACTGCACTTTTACTTGAATTGGGAAAGAGGGAGGCAAGGAGTGAGGAGAATCCTTCCCTTTAAGAGGCTAGATAAAGCCTCTTTGTAACGATGAGATCCCACTGCTTGGAGGGGGGTTGTTTCTTTGTGGTGTAGTCCACAGGTGGGTGTCTCTGCTTTTTATGTGTATGTGAGTCCCTGCACATGGTGCCCAGTGTCATGATCACGTCTCACCTCTATTACTTATACTACTTCCGATAGACCTTATTCTCAAACGTATCCACGAACAGTTCTGTCCAGTCTGCTTAGTACCATATCTGTAGTGGCCACACTGTGTGCCCTGATCTGTGACATGGCCAAGAGTTGCAGATGTCAGGAGTGGTTTAAAATATGCAGTTTGAGAAACCTTTGGGGACTTGTTAGTGTTATCTCAGAAGGGCTGAGCATGCTGCTTTTGAAAGTAGCTTCCTTTAAAGGATCTCCATTTGGGATCCAAAATCAAAGATCTCATGGCTGAGCTATGTTACACCAATAAAGAGGAACAATGAATGGCTTTCTTGAAACATATGGTAGTGTGCCACTGATCGCAGTATTTTGTGAACTGTTCCTGTCTTAGTGTGATGTATCTTTCATTCTTAAGTCTTTGAGAATCTGTATTTCCCAAATCAATAAAAACCCAATGCTGTTTGAGCTACAACCCAGGTAGCTGTTTCCAGTTTCTCTCTCTTGTTGGCTCTTTCATTGGTGTCACCAAGAAGCAGACAATAGCCAGTGAATGCACAGGACAGCAGAACCAAACAACAAATTTATACAGAGAGACCAGGCTGGGAGAGACAATAACAAACAGTTCCCAGGAGAGGAAATGAACTGCACAAACAAAAAGGGTGGATGAAATTAAGTTTCCACCATCAACATTAATGTCAGCTGGTTTCCCTTTGAGTCTTCAGTACTGTCTGACATCTCCAAACCGGGTAGCTGTTCCAGGCTAGGCACGGCACGCAGACCCTGGTGACGAGGATATTGCTTGTAGGATATTTGTGTTCATATGGTGGCAGAAGCAATTTCCTCCTTCACTCAGGCCTGTGCTCAGAGCATAAAGCCAATGGTTTTGCTCTTAGCAGGGCCTGCCTGCAGCCAGGCACGATAATGCTTCTGCATGCAAACTCCCACTCATTGCCGTGAGTAATTCTCCAGCGTTCCCCTACTTCTCAGAAGACCTGTCAGTCACCAGGACTAAAATGACTGCCACATGTCCCTCACCTAATCCTGTGTCTAAATTAGTCATAAATGCACTCTGTTCTTAATGCTCTTAAGTCTGGATTACAGAGGTGGCCAGACACTGGGGCTTTCTCCAGTGGGAAGCACTGATCAAGTGCAAGGAGTGGAGTCGCAGCCCTTTGTGTTTATAAGTTGCTTTACTCTTTAAACACACTTGCTAGGTAACACCCTGTCAGCTGGGTTTATGGAGTGGTTTCTCCGTCTTTCTGGGAAAGCTGAGGAAGGGAGAGTCTGTGTTCAAAGGTGTAGTCCACAGGTGGGTGTCTCTGCTTTTTATGTGTACGTGAGTCACTGCACATGGTGCCCAGTGTCATGGTCATGTCTCGACTCTATTACTTATACTACTTCGGATAGACCTTATTCTCAAAGCTTTTATGTGTGTTGCCACAATGGCTCTCTTTTTTCCCTTGCTAGGTCTCTCAGCTACTTCATTTACACTTGTATTTGGACCAGAAAAAAGGGCAGGTAATCTGCTGAGTGCTTATACTAACCCCTAACTAATGTCTGCCTCCCCATTAGACTAGTTGGAACTGTTTTCAGCTGAGATTGGTCTGAGGCCAGATGCTGTCTGCTCTGCTTCCAGTGGGTAGATCCTGCGTGCTGAGCTTTAAAAGCCTGTCTTTGATCTCATCAGCAAAATGCCTTCGAAGTCCTCTGCTGGCAATCAGAGACTCCAGCAGCTAGGCAGGGAGCTTTGTATGTGGAAAACCCATCTAACTCAGGTTGTTGCTACTGCATTGGCCAAGCTGCTGTGTTTGCTGTTGTTTTCTCGCTAATGGATAAAGGGAGCCTCTCTCCCACCGCTGTGATCCTGTTAGGATGGTTGGGGTTGCAGTGAAGCTAGTGAGACCAGGACTTGGCTCAGAAGTGAAGATGCATCTCTGCAAGCGTTTTCTGACAGGTGTGATTGGGGAAGTCCTGCTGACACCGTAGCGATAACTGACATCCTGGGAACATGCGCTACACCTTGTAGTGAGTATCTGCAGGATGGAGGCTGTAACATGCATGCAGACATGTCTGCTAGCATGGAGGAGAATTGCTAACCAAAGTTAGAGCAAAAAGGGAGGCGAACATTAACAGGTTTAGTATTGTGCTGGAAGTGTGGTGAGTGTGACTTAGTGTTCCCTTGCCTGTCTATTAACTACTGATCCTAAGATGCAAAAGGCCAGACGGTGCCATCCTGTATTAACACTGACCGTATTAAAAGCCTCTCTTTTATGACTTGACATTTTTTGATTCGTGATTTTTGTCATTTCACCATGCTGTATTATAGTTTCCACAGCTGCAAAATGGAATTTGTAGGTATTAGAGGTGTTTTGAAGCCTAAATAATGTCTACAAAATTCTTTCAGATTGTCAGACTGAAGGTATGATGAAATCTAGGCACTGTTATTTGTTTGTATCATATTTCATGGGACTTTGTATATAAATGGCAGATTTTTAAATTATGTGCCTAATTTTATTTACCTAGAACCTATGTAAAGTTAGCTACATATGTGGAGCATTTTTAATGAATAATTCCATTGGATGTAAACCCAGTTTTTCCAGACTCCTAAATCCATCTCCCTCTAAAAAGTTTTACTTCAAATGTGAATGCAGAGATTAGTTATAGAGGGACAAAGTAATGAAGACAATTCTAGCTATTTCTGATGGAGTGCCTGTTAGAGTGCCTGACACAATAATGACTTCAGATTTTGGAAAGGATCAAGATTTCTGATCCTTTCAAGCAAATATTGGTTGCATCAGTGTTTGTGCTCTGGGCCCACAGAGGTTAATGTTTGTTTCTGGAGATGATGATGTCTGCAACATTTAGAGGAAGGTAGCATGCAGGTTAGGGGGCTTTGAAAGAAAGCCCAGTATTTTGATACTGTTTTGTCCCACTCTTTAAAGCAAGAATAAGGAGAGAATGTGCTAGACATGGGGAAGTAAGGTATGCCTATATTACAGTTGCAATTTTCACCAAAGCAGGTAGAGATGCACCTAAATTAGTTTCAGATTAATTCCTATGCCGCATGGATGGGAGCTTTAACTTCCCTTAGAATCACAGACGAGCTTCTGCAGCTTAAATGTCCATGTCTTAATGGGTGATGCCTTAATACCGTTGGTAGTGTCATGAATCTAAATAAGGTTGATATCAAGTGATAGCAGTTACTGGGGAGTGATATTACCATGTCCTTTCTAGTATTTGTCTTTTGTCCTATTCAGTAGCACCTAACCCTGCCCCAGCCTGGCCTTTCTCTGCCCCTGTAAAGAGAGAACTGTCCGATGTATGGACCTAGCGAGGTTGGTGGGTCCTGGGAGAAGAAGAGGTGAAGGAAGCCTGAAGAAGTCTGCCTTCAGCTTGTGCCATACCTTCACTTATGGGGTGAACTTTCCTTGGGACAAGAAGATCAGATTAATTTGGGAGCAGGTAGACTGTAGTGAGCAGGGAACAGAGAGACACCTGCTCCTACTTGTTGCCACCAAAACCTCACCCTCTAGCAAAATCACTGTCTACTGGATCGGAAGTGCCATGCTTACAGGGACAGCCTGTGTCCTAGGAGAAGCTGGATGATGTAGAAGTTGAGTGTAGGCAGGCAGTCTTGTGCGCAGGGAGATTAAGGCTCAGTCTTCCAGCACCACTTCATGCTTGTGTCCTCTTCCAGGGGATGAACTCCCCAGAATACAGGTCCCACACTGCCAGCACAATCATGCTGACAGGGTAGTTGGTGTTCAAGGAGGGGAGAGAGAAGTGGTGTCATCCGTAGTCCCGCAGCCCTCCCGGTCCCCTTTTTCTAAAGGTTGTATAATACTACCATGCTGTTTTGCTGTTGACACAGTGAAATGTTGTTATCACAGCAACTGTCATGGTATTACTGCTGTCACGCTCTCTGGGATAAAATTAGCCCAGATCCGTACGGACGTGCTGCAAACATGCCTCTGGCCTGCAGCATAGACATAGCTTCAGGACCTGGATCTTCTCTTTGTGCAGACACACGGTGTGCTGAAATTTCTAGGACATCTCCCATGTATGTAGCAGTTGGAAGAGCATCTGTATGATCACAGCCAAGACGGTAAACAAAAATCCCCAAAACAGCTGCTCTTCATCTTACACGTGTTTGTTTTAACCAAACACGGCCCAAGTTGTGTGCTGTGCTAAATCTGTTCTGTTGTGAAATAAAGCTATTAACTTGTTTTTTTCTTTTGTTAATAAATGATAGGCCTTATTGTGGAATAATAAGCATTACAGCTGGATAAAGTCTTTATTGCTAAAACATGTAACTGCAGCAGTGCAAATTTCTCATAGTGCTGGCTTTTCAAATGTTTGTGATTTCATATACAGCAGCTGCTTATCTGACAGGGAGATCAAGGTTGGTAGCAACATTTTCCATTTTACTCTGAAACCATCCTGATTCTTTTGTAATCATAATTTTTGTCATGTTTCTATTTGGGGTCAGGTAAAAATGTGGCAACTGGGAAAGAATTGTGAGCGTTATGTTGTGCCCTAGGAGCAATTAAATCAAGTCTATCCCTACAAAGACCGAAGGTGCATAAATTTGAAAGAAAATAAATGGAAGGGAAGTCAGCAGGCTTTCACACACGTTCACTGTCCTCACTCAGCCTGAGCCTTTGCTATCCCTGCCATTTCTGAGATTTGGACAAACTGTTTAAGGGAATGGTAGGAACAATAATATTTTGGTATTATCTGTGTGATGAGCAACCTTCATCTTTGCTGTTATAAACTCAGGTTAAATTAAAGCAAAAATCAAGAAAAGACAATTTTAAAATTTTTTTCCTGGAGAAAGTCAAAGTTGTTTAGCACAGCTGCTGTGACTGTGTGTTTAAGGCTGTGGTTGTACATATTATATGCTAATGTAATGAGCCCACAGATGACAGGCACATATCAGGACCTTGTTGTTTCAAAGCTGTCTCTGGGGCCTTTGATCATTATATGCCGCTACATCACAAATTGCAATGCAAGAATATTAACATATCTTCTTCATTTTCAATGCAAAAGGGTGCGTTAGTGTCATCTTCTCTGCCAGGTTGGTCTGACGCATGAATCTCGTCTCTAATCTGACTCATGTCCACATACATAAATTGCTTGCTGGAATGAAATGGTATTTGGGTTAGCTGGCTGAGCAGAGCGGCTGGGAGGAGGTTAAAAGCTTGAGAACTGTTGACACTTGAGCTGGTGGTGCGGGAGGAATACAGCACTCAGGTTACAGCAGCTCATCAATTGCTAACCCTCCGGCTTTGCTGGTCCAGTCATTCTGCAGCAGCAAAATATTATTTAGTGATCTGATTGCTCTCAGCTTGCTCTCGCTAGGGATCTGTCTGTTGTAGTCAAACTGCAGGGTGGGATGTCTTGTGTTAGCTTTAAACCAGTTACTGATAATAGGGTGGCAGTGCAGGAATTCAGTGCAAGCTACAAAACCCACCTAGAACTTCACTGCACTGAGTTGTGGGCGGATGAGATCATACCCAGCTAACCAGCCATGCAAGGAAATTGCAGTATACCAGCCCAGTGACAGTTGTATTCATAGACTGGAGAGTAGATGTACCTTAGACTGGCCTAAGAAATAAAACTTGAGATGCCTGTTGGAATGAGAACATGTCCCAAGAGTGGCTCAGCCACTGGCAGGAAAGTAGCCAAAATTCAGGCATCAACACTTGTGGCAGGTTGGAGAGTGAGGTGGGAGAGGTGAGATTTTAACAAAACATCAGCTCTATGGACTCCACTGCCAAGCATATAAAATAAGCAAAATAAAATGTCTCGGTATACCAGCAAAAAAGCCCCATCTATTTAAAATACATTAAAAAGTAGAACACGCTAATGAGAAAGAGCAAAGTAAGTCTGCAGGAAGAGCATGGTGGGTGTGTGGAAGCTTCTCTGCAATAGCCTGCAGAAAAGCTAACTGCAAAATGCTGTCAAGCACAGTATACATAGAGAGATCTTAAGAAAACAAAGATTCAGTAAAATAAAGAGAAAAATCCCAGTGCAACTTCCTGGCTAGCTCTGCCAGGTGCCTCTGCCCTACAAAGGACAGTTCAATTTTGTTTTTCTTAGATGATGCGTATTTCTACTGATGATGCTTTGGGACAGCATTGAAGAAGTTATCATCACACGCTGTTTGCTTCATGTCGGTGCAAACAAGTGCTGTAGTCCAGGATGTATAGCCTGCCTGTGGTTAAGTTGATATGCCACAGAGTTGAGAAGGAAGTTTGAACCCTTAAAGGATTTTTCTTGTATGAAAACCCTCAGGCTGAAAAGTTGGGAGATTACTGATCTAGCAGTTTTCTTGAACACAGAATCATAGAATCATAGAATCA